CAAAATCTCCAGACTGTGCCACAACTGCAGGTGTTTCATCGCTCCCTTCCGTCACAAATGAAGGAGATTCCCTTGTTGTGGACGAAAGTAAATCACCTGCCGATGAATCGGTACTGGAGAAAGCACTTGGGAGTGATTTTCCAGTAGATGCCATCTCATCAATGCTCGCAGCCACGTCTGGCACTTTGTTATCCACTGACGTTGGCAATTCTCCGCTGGCCTCGATAGGCTCTGATGTGGTTGACTGATCCCTTTCAGCGGTTGTGTACTCGCCAGCCTCAGTTACCTTTAAAATCGTTGATGTTGGTGTAGAGGATGAGATGAGCGATTCTTCTTCAGAAGTGGTAGAAAACGGTTTGTCTGTTCCTGTTACGGCTGGATTTTTCTCTTCGTCCACATTTGCTGCAACGTTAGGCACTTTGTTGCTCACTGCTGGTTCTTCTCCGCTGGCTTCAATGGGTCCTGCTGTTGTTGGGCTCGTCCCTTCCTCTCCTGCAGTGGTTGTCTCTTCGCCTGCTCCTGATATCTCAGTTGTTGAGGGAGTAGTTGAGACTGACCCACTTGTTTCTGACGAAGTCGTAGCTGCTTCTTCATCCACGTTCGCTGCAACGTTGGGTACTTTGTTGCTTACTGCTGATTCTTCTCCGCTGGCTTCAATGGGCCCTGCTGTTGTTGGCCTTGTCCCTTCCTCTCCTGCAGTGGTTGTCTCTTCGCCTGCACCTGATATCTCAGTTGTTGAGGAAGTCGTTGAGGCTGACCCGCTTGTTTCTGATGAAGTCGTAGCTGCTTCTTCGTCCACATTCGCTGCAACACTGGGTACTTTGTTATTCACCGCTGGTTCTTCCCCGCTGGATTCGATAGGCTCTGTCGTTGTAGTTTTCTTCTCCTCCACTTCTTCAGTAGTTTCCTTTTCGCCTGTTTCAGTTCCCTGTGGAGTAGGTAAGGGTGATGTGACCGTAGTTGTCTCTTCACCATTTAGAGTAGTGGTGATTGAGATCGGCCCGCTGGTTCCTGATAGGGTCGTAGCTGGTTCCTCATCCGCATTTGCAGCCACTTGTGGCTCATTGCTACTCAATACTGATTCTTCTCCACTAGACTCAATAGGCCCTGCTGTTGGCTTCGTCGTTTCCTCTCCTTCAGTGGTTCTCTCTTCGCCTGCACTTGATATTTCAGTTACTGAGGGAGTGGTTGCGACTG